TATATATATATATATATATATATATATATATAATAAAAACAAAATGGAAATTCATCTTAGCCGATGCGTGTCTTTTCTGAAGGACTTTATCAAGGTAATTTCTCATGGCAATTGTTTTGATAAAGTCACTCAGAAGAGGAAACGCGTCGGCTAAGCTAAGTTAAATTCTTATTTAATTTTTATTGAGTTCTTTTCTGGGGATAAATTATAAAGAAATTGCCCGAATGTTCGGTTTGTCTGAACGCATTCGGATATACTTTTAGGCATTTTTAATGATTATTTTATTTTGATTTATAACTGAATATATATATATATATATATATATATATATATATATATATATATATATATATATATATATATATATATATATATGCATGTTTCATTAAAAAACGACAGGACAAGATACTACGGTTAAGCTTTTTATTTAATTTTTCTTGTGTTCGAACAAGAACTTTCTTTTCTGGACAAAGAGTGTGTAAGAACTGTCCAAATATTTTATATTTCCGAGCGCTTTCGGCTATAACTTTACCCATTATCAAGGATGATTCAATATTTCAGCTTAGCTGAGTGTGCGTTATGTGTATGTCTTAGTGTGTGGTAGGGATGTTTTTAATTTCCGAATACGGTTAGCACATTGTGGCTTTGTTCCTAGTTAATATTGTAAAGAGCTGGCTTTTTCTTTTTTATTATTGAAGCTTCCATTATTTTTAGACTTTTTTTTTTTGCAGGTAGATGCAGTTAATACATTTGTGTTTTATACTAGTATGTTTCTAATCGAGTCTGGTAAGTTTATGTGTGTGTTTAAATGGATTCTAATGGAACTGTGATCAAATAGGAGTAACGTAAGATATATATATATATATATATATATATATATATATATATATATATATATATAGAGAGAGAGAGAGAGACATATATATATATATATATATATATATATATATATATAAATATATATATATATATGTATGTGTGTGTGTGAAAAATATGTGAATGTATTTAAAAAAATACGAGCTGCTTAAATGTTTGATGTATTCCACCATTATTCTTATATATGTAAATGTGAATATCTTTATAAGTACTCAAGGAAACTGATGCTCATGTTTCTGTATATATATATATATATATATATATATATATATATATATATATATATATATGTATGTGTGTGTGTTTGTTTGGGTGTGTGTGTGTCTGTGTGTGCCTGTGTGCGCGCGGGCATATGTGTGCGTGTGTGTGCGTGTATACCCATTTAATTAGATGACGCGTACACATCCATGCACATAGAAATTTTATCAAACGAAGGGTTAGAATTGATAAAATTTTGATCAAAAATTCATTTCTTGATAATTAAACTAATGGACGTGTTGTGTGATGGATTGCTGAATGCTAATGTAAATCAATCCTATTACATATGTTTAAAACAACATAAGAATGATTAACACACACCGAAGGACAAATGCTATTTTGAAATGAAAATTACGCTTATATATTCACTCAGTAAAGATTTCGAAGACGTTTGATTAAAATTGACAGACACGTTTTACGACCCCAAGCGTACGTATTTATTTTGTTTAATAAAAAACGTCATGCAAATGAAGACACTTTTCTTCATAACGGGACAAGGCATCGTCAGTTGTATTCAAGCAAAAACATTTCGACAAATTCTCCAATGACTTCACTCATGGGTGTGAGAAAATATACGCAAATTTACGCATAGAAAAGATAAATGGTGAATTTTAAAAATGTTTGAATTTGGATATAATTAAACAGACAGAGTTTGTATGCATTATTTAAAATTAGTTTTGTACAATTTTTGAATAAGCTGTTGATAAAAGACACATTTTATATGAACATATAGGTATAGATATAATTCTACATAGTTATTCAATATTCATATATTAATATATATTCTTGGGGTATGTATGTATCTATTTGCATATATATATATATATATATATATATATATATATATATATATGCATGTATGTATATATGTCTGTGTGTGTGTGAAAGAGAGAGAAGATAAAGAAGGAATGACGAATTTAAAGAAGACACAAAGAATAAACGAAAGAAAGAACGGAAGAAAGAACAAAATAAAGAAAAAGGGTACGATTTCCTTTGGTTGGTTTATTCAGATGTCCTGAGTGATTAATTATTCATCAATAATTAATAATATATAAATAGTTATACAGACTTAAATTAAACAATGTTGTATATTTCCATAGTGAACGGCATATTGCCAATAAATTGAAATACTTTTAATAGAAAATTATGCGGATTTAACCTGAGATTGTGGTAGTGATGTCCGAACAAACTTCAACAAAATTGAACAGAAATGTAACATAAAAAAGAAAAAAAAAAAAAATGACAATAAATAAAAGCGGAATTACGTCAAAGAAAAGATACGGTGATGGAGGAGGTGTAGTTGCAAAAAATGAAAACAAAATTATAATCTCACCATGAGATCCTTGAGAATCAAAAAGATGGTCGCCTGGTAAAAGGGAGAGAGAGAAAGAAAGATAAAGCAAAACTCAAAGACGCAAAGGAAATCGACAAAAAAAAAAAAAAAAAAAAAAAACAAAAAAAAAAAGAAATGATTGGTAAAAATAAAAATTAGTGAAAAAGGCGGAAATCTCTAAATTTTAAAGTGCGCATGTGCGTGTATGCCATCCTGTGGTCAAAGAAAATATTTTGTATCGTTACATAAGTTCTCATTAATTTTTTTTAAAGGTGGAATTCTGGGTACTGTGAACATAAATCATTTTTAATTTTTTCCCATATCCTCAGATATGCATTTGTTTAAATTCATATGTTTTCAAGTTTGTTAAATCAAATCATATATATATATATATATATATATATATATATATATATATTGATAGATGTGAGTTTGTCAAACTACATCTATCCAACCAAATATGTTAGCCTATCTCTGATATTGAGCGCTTTATATACTATGTATATATATATAAATAATTATACATACTTATATTTATTTATATTTATATACACTTTTCACATATATATATTTATACACTTTTGTATATATATATATGTGTGTGTGTGTGTGTGTGTGTGTGTGTGTGTGTGTGTGTGTGTGTGTGTGTGTGAGTGAGTGTGTGTATTCGCACGTAGATTCACACAGAGACAATGCAGGTATGCAGAATGAGAGTAAAAGAAACACAGAGTAACAGATTCGACTGCTTGTTGTGAAGTAGCCCAGATATTCCGTGTTCGATACCTGTAAACAAGGAAAGATCTATAAACAGAATATCGATCTGAGCATTGCATTTTGTCTTAACCAGATATCTACCCAATGAAAATATATATGCGTTTATCTCCTCCTCCTCTCTATATATATATATATATATATATATATATATATATATATATATATATATATATTGGGAAGTGTTATCTGATGATCCGGCGTCCTTTAAAAGGACTCTGGTGAAATAAATTATTATAATGGTACCTTAAAGTGTCCTGTTTTTTTTTAAATATATATATATATATATATATATATATATATATATATTATAGAAAGGACTTTTGTGTGCTTCTTATAATATGTAAAATAGGTTATTTAATAAAAAAGGTCAAAGAAAAGGGTACCAATATAATTATTACGATAAACATTTATTAAATTTTAAATATTACATATGTGACAGAAATGAAGCACGATGAAAAATGGTTTAAGTTCGGACTTTTCAGACACGCCTGTGTTTCTTCATCAACGGACCGAGGTATAATCAGTGAAATGAGAATTACTCACCGACAGATATTTTTGTATATAGTGTATTTTTCTGTGAAGTAGTAATTTTATCAAAAAACTTTAAATTTCGATCGGTGTAAAAGAGGTATGTCTATATATATATATATATATATATATATATATATATATATATATATATATATATATATATATATAAACTAAATGTTGTTCCTATCATGATATTGATTTTCACAGAGATGCATGTAATGATAATTACACACACACACACACACACACAGACAGACACACACACACACACACACACACACACACACACACACACACACACATATATATATATATATATATATATATAATATGGGATTAATTAAACACAAATATATATATATATATATATATATATATATATATATATATATATATATATAGAGAGAGAGAGACAGACAGAGAAAGAGAGAGACTGAATTATATTCGGCTGATTAACAAATATCCGTACTTTTGTCAGAACATATCTTTAGATAAAAATGCGGTTAATTTTTACTTTCTCTCATCTATTAGACCTAATATATAATAAATACATGTACATATATATATATATATATATATATATATATATAATGTCATATTGTATTAAGCAAGGAAATTTAACAAAAATTTAGTATTTTTCTGAATGAAAATTCAGTATATATATATATATATATATATGTGTGTGTGTGTGTGTGTGTGTGTGTGTGTGTGTGTGTGTGTGTGTGTGTGTGTGTTTGTTTGTTGGGGGTCTCTGTGTGTGTGTAGTATGCTTATTGATTTTTTTTCTGATTTCAGATATATAAATACTGCAACGAAACATCATCTCAAATGGGTAACAACTTATCGTAATATAATGAAAACACAACGGGAATACTCTTGAGAAAGTTTGAAGTGAGTTCAAAGAATAGTAATAAAAATAATAATTAAAAGCCCAGAAAAGAAGCTGTTCTATAAGACGAGGAATTAAATTAAATGATCGTAGGTAAATTAAATCTCTTGATCGGCAAGGAAATATTCCAGGAAAATTGTGCTGCTAATCTAAACAAATCGAAATCATGAGGATAAGTAATAAGAATATAGCACATTTTTAAACCTCGGACAGAGAAGTATATGAAACTAATTCATCAATGGTAATTTTTAGAGATGAATTTAGAGCTACAACGAATGAAGTTCATGACTCTTTCATGAATTAGAAAACAACTGACCGGATATAATGTAATGATGTGTGTTTGTAATTTCTGCTTTAAAAATATATCTTATATAAAAACGGTTGTGTGTTTAAGTTTTTATTTAGGCATTTCACTCCAAGCAATGCAGTAGTGCCACTAGCACGCAAGGCGTTCCAGAAAATGAAAGTAATATTAAAGAGTTGTGTTTTAGGAAAGGATAATGAGAAGGAAGGGGATCAGGATCAAGGCATCAAAAGATGTCGATTGACATTACATTTGAATATTTGAAAGTTATAGTTACAGAAAGGCAATTAAGCGGAGGGGAATTCCACTGATGGGAAGTGCGAGAGAAGAAGCTGTTGGAATAGAAGAGGCGGTTTACATGTAACTGCTTCGTTATGCCAACCTAGTAGCACGCTTAAATTCATGCATTTGGGGCACAGAGGGAAGCCACATCACGTCTGTGAGAAAGGGATTCTTGTCGAAATGCTAGGTCAGGACCTATCATATAGCACAAAGATTATTTTCATAACGAAGTTCTTGAACAAGTTTAACAAGGTCAATATTATATTCATGCCAGAAAATCATTGTTTATATATTGCAAAATTAAGTCTTGATAATTTTGCCAATAAAGATTCAGAAACACCAAATTAATAGAAAGGTTCCCTTGTCTCTCGAGAAATGCATCTCATAGAATTCTTGCAACGTATCTTTAAAAGAGAGTATATGCAAACGAAACTTATATTCAGACATAAAATATTTCGAGAAAGACACAAAATCTGATCTAAGTAATGTTAAAGCCAACAAATAATTTAACGATAAAAATATTCATGAAGGTTACATAATGTCAATGTACCCTGGTGATAATATAAATGTATATAATCATTTATTTAGCTATATCGGATGATATGTTTAATAGCGTATCATCATCGTCAGTATCAGTCTAATAAGTGGGTGTGGTCGTAGGGTCACACCGCAGGTGAGGACCTGACATGTTCCCTCCGCATATCTATGTTGAAAGCCGGAAGTTTATTCATTCATGCGTAGCTTGTCGTGGGCAACCAGACCTGTCATACCCTATCCCTCTCCAGGTCATTTCCACGCCGATGTCCTCCAATATAAAGGTTTGCCTTGGGCACGAGATGTCCTTCAACTTGAAGGAACTCCTTGGACACGAGATGTCCTCCAACTTGAAGGAACTCCTTGGACACGAGATATCCTCTAACTTGAAGGATTGCCTTGGGCACGAGATGTCCTAAAACTTGAAAGATCGCCTTGGACACGAGATTTCCTAAAATTTGAAAGATCGCCTTGGACACGAGATTTCCTAAAATTTGAAAGATCGCCTTGGACACGAGATGTCCTAAAACTTGAAAGATTGCCTTGGACACGAGATGTCCTAAAACTTGAAAGATTACCTTGGACACGAGATGTCCTACAACTTGAAACATCGGCTTTGACACGAACATTTGGCTTTTGATTCTATTAACAGAACGCTCCGTCCTAATCATTGATTTCATTCTAGTAAGTTGTATACGAATAAGAAAATGATTTCAGTAAATATTCATAAATAGAAAATAGTGTATGACAAGGTGTTATCTTTTCACCAGAAAGATTCAACCGCCATATTGAGGCAATTCTGATAGAATAAGAAGTTCAACCGCGGTTCATTATTGGCAGCTACAATCTTAACATAAAAGTAAAAACATGATGATACAGTGTAGGTAACAGACACGAGAAGAAAACTACAAGAACTCCTACAGATGATAGCGAAGGAAATCGTTAAGGAAGGAATAAACACCAATCATAACAATAGAGAATGAATAGCTGTCTGCAAAAGCAACAATCCAACATGTAAATTATAAATCTGAAATACCAAAATCAAGCAAGTGCAACAATTTAAATATCTGGGAAGTATTTTAACAGTGGACAAAAATTGCTACATCGAAAACCGCCATTCAAAAGCTAAGAAAATTTATAAGAAACAGGGAAATTTCGTTAGAAACAAAAAAAAAATGTAGTGGGTTGTTATGAAATATCATATGTCCTCTATGGCAGTAAATGTCCCCACAGATGAAGAAAGGACTTGAGGTAACATAGACGTAGTTCTAAAGAAGGATGCTGATAATACCATGGACGAAACACGAGAGCAACGACGTTTTAAATAAAATGGAAACAAAAGAGAGTTTTATGTTTAACATAAGAAAGAAAGAGTTGGCAATTACAGTGCATATAATGAAGAAAGATTGCTTAGAAACTTTGACACTCGCATGACATATTAAAGACAGGATGAAAAGAGGAAAATAGCCGACACAAAGAGCGTGTTTAAATGAATAAAAGAAAAAATAAAGCCATAATATAACGATGTCTTATCATCACAACATTGTTTAACACATTGTAATAAATGGTCGCTGATATTGCAAGAATTTTCATTTGCCCCTTTCACATGTTATGTTTTAAGCCAGCTGAAAGTCTAGACATTGATTTCCCAAGAAAGAAACATGATTAGGGAAAAGGATTTGTCGACTATAGATTTAGTATTGATTCATAAGTTAAATG